TTTTTGGGACAGAGAGAGACAGAGCATGAACGGGCGAGGGGCAGAGAGAGAGGGAGACACAGAATCGGAAACAGGCTCCAGGCTCTGAGCCATCAGCCCAGAGCCCGACGCGGGGCTCGAACTCACGGAGCGCGAGATCGTGACCTGGCTGAAGTCGGACGCTTAACCGACTGCGCCACCCAGGCGCCCCGTCTGACTCTTGATTTCAGCTCAGGACATGATCTCATGGTTCGTGAGTTTGAGCTCCATGTCGAGCCCCATGCACTAAGAGTGCAAAGCCTGCTTGGGATTCTCTTTCTCTTTCTCTCTCTGCCCCTCCCCTGCTCTCTCCCTCTCAAAAAAAAAGTTTGTTTTCAGTATTTAGAAAAGAATGATAATGCCAAGAGGACTACAGAATGGGAAGTAAGCTCACACAACTAGAGTGTGCACAAAGAATAAAGGCATTTCAAGAAAGAGACAGTAGCCTTCTAAAGCAAATACTGATTAAGATCAAGTAAAATGAGAATAGAAAAATATTAGTTAAATATTGTCACATGAAGACTGATCCAGCTCATGAAGGCAATGGCCCAAAGTGACAGAGATGGAAAGAATCCTTTTATAGACCTTTGCTCTAGCTGATCCCCCTGCCTGGAATATTCTTCTTTGCTCAAATCTTAACTTCTTAATGAGGCCCACTCTGAACCCATCATGTTTGTTTGCCTCTCTTTTCCTACTACGATGTAAACTCTAAGATGGCAAAAGTTTTTGTTCTGTTTGCTATATCTCAAGAATGCTGACCAGCGTGGTGGCACCTAAAAGTTACTCAAGTATTTCATCTATCAATTCAGTTTAATGTACTAAATTTAAATTTCTTCTTTGCCATAATGTATCAACACATAACTACATTACTTGGCTGTCATATGACAATTTACCTACCACTCTGCATAAAAATGACATGACTCTGGCAGTAGAAAACTCCTAAAAAAAGTTATTTGGAAATTCTACCAATCCTTCAAGACCAAACAAAGCCTTCCCCAGCTTTGCCAGTGTGAATTTCTTACTCTTTTGGACTATAGCACATACTATGTGTAATTTCATCTGACGTCTATTATAATGCATGTCTTATTTTTTTTAAAGTTTTATTTCTAACTAAAATGTAAATTGAAGCTGAGAGTTAGGTTGGTTATACATCTTTGTAACCATCACAATATGTGCATTTTAAGTGACAAACATCCAAATACATAATGACAGAAAAACAAAGTCAAAGAACTTTTGTCTGACGGAATCTTATGCTTTTAGCAATAATCTGAGCATCTGAAACAAGTAGCTACAACTTAACCACCAAGAAAGTATTAAATATTTTTTTAAGGGAAGCATTCTAAAGATAAATAATTTTTACCATGCTTGATAATTTAAGTCAGCAATAATTATCACTTTGCTTTAACAATTTAAATGGCATACTGATATACTCTTGCAGAACCCTAGGCCATTTACTGTCAGGCTTAAGGACAACCTTTTCCAAAGGTGAGAATCAAATAATAACTTTAATAAACAGTGAGTGTCTCACAGGATTGGGTAAAGCTTTAAGTCATGACCCATCTTAAAGATCTATCAACAACAAGGAAAAAAGCACACATTATTATCAATTAAAACAATCTTATAGTGGTATAAGTCTCCTATATCCCAGCCACTTAACTATATACTTTACAAACACAAAAGCTAAATATTTTCCTGATATTATACATGAAGAAACTAACATGGAATGGTGATTAAGAAACTTAGCCAAAATGTACACCTGCAGTGATCTAAAAATAAACCAACATTTCATCTATGACAACTTTGGTTAACCTCTACCATAAATCCAACTGAATACCTAAGATTAGTTTTGTAACTCCATACTTAAATATTATGATTATTAGCTGTAAAATATTTCCCTCTAAAGTTTGTTTGTTTGTATGTTTTGAATTAAAAGATAGGAGAATCCTCAGACACAACAGTAACATTTCTTTCTTAGCTATGGGATCTTTGGTACAAGGAACATTGAAAATTTTTGCCCTCTTATTAGTATAGCACAGATACAAGATCCACTAAAAATACTAATAAATTTATGGGGTGCTTACTATGTGAATGGCACTGTGCTATAGGAAATCTCAGACTCCAAGGCCATAATCGAGACAATCCTCTCTAATCTTGTATGATAGCCATCCTTGTTTTCAAAGTTTGCCTTACTGTTTAAATGGACACCTTATACCAATAAATAGGATATAGAAGGACTTCGAATTGCCTATCTCCTTTGAGGGATTTATTTAGTTCTAGTCATTATATTTATACATGCACATGTACACATTCATATAATATAAAACACAAGAGAAAGAAAGAAAACATAAAACTTTTCTGTCTTACCTTTCTTTATTCTTTCCTTACCACCTATAATTTGTTCTTCTTGTGGCATCTGAGATAATTTCTGCCTAAACAACTTCTCTAGAGCTTGTGCCATAAGAACAATGTCATCTCCAGGCTAGAAAATATATAAGATTACAACATGGTCAACAATTCAGGCTACCTTAGAGAAGACAGTGACACAGTACTCTTAGTATTTACTAAACAGTATTTATTGCTTCTAAATTAAGTTTACAAAATAGTGCAGCGGCTCATATTTTAAATTCTAACAAGTCACGTTAGAATGTAACATGTAACTTCTAAAAATAACCCAGGTAGCCTTTATGAGTAATAGAGGATTACAATCCAACCAATCCTACTAATACAGAAAGGTTTTAGAAATTAAAATTTCTACCTCACAAAAAAGTTAAAATACATTCATGGCTGTGCAAAGTACATGACTTGACTTGATATGATTGTTTTCAATTAACTATAAGTGATAAAATGACACTGCAGAGCTAATTTAGTTTTTAAATCTTTTTTTAAAATTTATTCTGAGAGCATGTGTGCATGGGCACAAGCTGGGAGGGACAAAGAGGCAGGGAGAGAAAGACTCCCAAACAGGCTCCACCCTCAGCAGAATCCCAGGGTGACCTGAGCCTGACCTGAGCCAAAATCAAGAGTTGGTCACTTAAATGACTGAGCCATCCAGCTGCCCCTTTTTTTTTCTTTCAGTTTTTAAATCTTAACTACCTGCTTGGAAGTCTTCCACTTGCTTTACTCAGTACTGATAAAAAGCCTAAAGCAGAGAACACTGACTTCGAGTTAGGTATGTCAGGAAAATTACTGAACTTCATTTTAATATGTTAAATGTAAAAATACACTTGACATTGTTAAATTAAAATGAAGTTTCCAATGGCACTTTCAGAATACTATTAGTTCTGATTTTTTAAAAAAATTCATATTGACTAAGAGTCTTAAATTTTTTATTTTATTTTTATTATTTTATTTATTTTTGATTTTATTTTTAATTTTTTAAAATTTACATCCAAATTAGTTAACATATAGTGCAAC